AATGGTTTCACGTCAATTCAATTTCAAAATACTTGAGTATCAGGTGTTCGATATCAGAATGGAGACTATTAAATCATAAGCCCACCTCTCTGGGAACCCTGGATTCAAACCGTCATACAACTTTCATGGCAGATACGTAGCGGTTTCATGGGTCTATTCAGGAAATGTCGGGCCTCCTCCTTTACCATTCGCCCACTTACATTGTGGCCTTTCAAACCCAAAATGGATACGGGAAATTAGTCTTTTTTTTTTTTTTTGTTGCACCATACAAAAGTGCGAAAGTATTCAGCTATTTTCTTTTACCACGTGTGCTAATAAGCTGTTAGACATTATTTAAAATGTCTAGTTTCGTTACACAGATACAAAAATATACACTCGTTTCAACATCTGCAGAAACCAAAGGTGTTTTCAGTCATTAAGTACAGTACTTTACTCACTTTGCTAGTGATAAAATTGCCGTCTATTGTCGATAGTTACGAGCAATATTATTAGACTTTTTTGTGTGACCAATTTCATGAAAATGAAGATAAATAAAATAAGTTAAATATACAACTGAGATTTATATTGTTTATTATATTTTACATTGTTTGCATATTTATATCTCGTATAATAATAATATTATAAGTTTCTATATGTTATTAATTTCTCCTGTAAATGTATTTTTACTGTACACCTTTTAGACTATATCGGGAAATCATTTAACGAGGTAATCTGTCATTACTTTTATACAGTTAATAACTACAGAAACTGAATGATTACTCTCAGGAATCATCTAATATATAATAAAACAGTACAGTCGATCTCCCGTATAACGTGGGTTCCTATAACGGAGATTCCTATAACGTAGCGAAAAAATTGTGACAGTATTCGTATAAGGACGCTAAAAGACACTCGTAAAACGTTGTCGCCGACTCGTGTCGCGACAGGATTGGTCGAATCTGGACTAATAGTGGACGAGCAGCCGAACTACTTTCCGCCTTCCAGCGCCACGCTACGGAGAGTTTAGGCGGGTAAATTGAGTTTACTATCGTCTTTATAGTATGTAAATTAGGTACTGTAAGTCTAATACAGTACTGTAATTTTATACATTTCTTGTGAAAAAAACATTTCTTATTCAACGGCCATTAAAATTATTTATATTAATGATGTCTCCAAAGTTCAACGAATTTTTCGCAGAAAAATAACTTATCAGAAATCGCGGCCGCCGTTTGGTGCGCTGCTCCGCGACGAAAACAAGCTTAAGCAATGGCGACGTCGAACGGTGCACACTCGGTAAGTAATCCTACAATTTTTTGTTTATAGCATAGTTTATACGGATTATTCCCAAAAAATTATACGTGTTTTGGAAATGTTGAGTCGAATTAGTCTAGAATCGATTAATTTTATGGAAGAAAACCTTTCAAACAGCCGTAGTCCGTAAACTTCACACGTGTCGGGTTGCGATTGGCTCATGTATTTAAGGATTCCTACAACGTGAAATTCGAATAACGTGGAACGTATCTAAGCGTTATAGGGGGTATACTGTATAAAATATTTAAATTTACATAATCATTGATCCAATAGACGTGCCATGTAATATCAACAGCTGCTATAAGGAATTTAAGTTAGAATGTTTTTGTTTTTACTTTTTCCGCCCTGTGGGCACTAAGACGGCCTATTTTGAAGCCCTTATGGATTCGGCCAGGCCCTTAATTTAATGACACGATCGGGTAGTGATGGATTGAGGCCCGGCATGTCTGGGACAGACAATCCTCCGAAAAATTTCTGGGATTTTTTCGATTACCTGGAATTAGATTGAGGGTTCCCCGGAACGGTAAGATGACACTTAATAAGATTTGGCCAGCTGAATGTCAAAAAGATGGCGATCACTCAGAACGAGTTTCCTCCCTCCCGACTTCCGTATTGGAAGCGGGAATGGCAAATAGTTTGCTTCAAGAAGTAGTTCGCCTCTTGGCATTCAAATGGAAATTTTACACCTCATCATCGGAAATGATCGTTTGAAATATGATCTAAGTTTGGATTCGGGCTAAACTTTCAAGACTTTTCTTGAATTATTTGGTTGAAGTTCGGCGTGTCATCCTCCATCCATATTGCTGTTCCGTTACGATCCATACTGTTCTCAATGAGTAAAACTATAGATAATTGTATATTCCATTTGTGTTTCAATTCATAAATTCAATCCGATTTTTCAGACTGATGACCGCCCGGTAAAGCATTAATCTACTACGGGTTCGAATCCGATAGAATTTATATAACTTATCTTGGATATTGATCCACTATAAGGCCGTGATGATCGACCATACTAATAACTAATTCCTCGAAACGGAAAAATTTCGGAATTGATAAATTATATTTTATTTACTTAAAGTGGTAGCGTCTATCTAACAACTAATATTTAAACTTTACTAATGTAGAAAAAATAAATATTAAATTAAAAAAAAATACTTTTTAAAAATAGTTTTAAACATCATTCGTGTAAAATTTAGCCACCAAATGAACACTCAACATTAATATTATTATTCAATTGATTGTGTTAATTAAGTGATTCAATATACATAAATCTTAATCAGACGTTCGAATGGCCGCTCCGGGATCGAATCCGAACGGGTCGAAAAATCCCCAGGAATTTTTCGGGGGTGGTCGTCCGGATCACCCATCATCACCCAGCCGTTCCATTGTGAGCCTGGCCGAATTTATAATGGGCTTGCTAAAAGAGGCCCTTTTAGTGCTGCCCACAAAGCGGAAACAGTTTTAAAAAATTTTAACCATTTTTATTTATAAATAAATTATATCCCAAATACACAACCAAGATCCGGGGTCACTACAGGAGATCAATCGAAAAATTGTTACATTCCAACGTAAGCTCGAAAGAAGCCTATCCTTACGTTATCAAAAGAAATTTGACTGGATACTAAACAAGCAAAAACCACAGGAGGCAATACAACTCCCATCCATGATATGCTGGGATAACATATCACCTCCGGATTTTCTAGTTCGCTCACTATCACAGGGACCTATGTTTGCCCCTCGTGATTCATACATACGAACTGAAAAAGTGATGCCAGATTTAGAAAATCTGATCACGGGGATGAGCGAAGTGCACAAAGAATACTACAGATGGAAGTCAGCATTCAAGATACAACAGGCCAACAACCGCATACAGGACGAAAGAAATTGGAAGCAGATTCACAAATCCAAAAAATGGTTAGCGGATAATAACATAGTGGTTCTCAAGGCGGATAAAAGCAAAGGCTCTAGTGTTATTAAAGAGAAATACGTACGTTTCGATGATGCAAAACTACATCAATGATACGGAGTGTGAACCTATCGAGGATGGATTTGTCAACAAACTACAAGCGCGGGTAAAAAAGTTTACTCAAACACCGTTCGCTAGAGAGTTGGGCATAAGTAGGGCAGTGGTGCCGTCCCCGGACACTCCCAGGCTCTTTGCCTTCGCCAAAACGCACAAGGATAAACCTGCATTAAGACCGATCCTTGACAAAGCGAGATCGCCCACTAGGATGTTAGACACAGCTATTCATAAACATATAGCTCATAGCTTAAACAATTATCCATGGTCAGTAAGAAACTCTGCAGAGTTATTAGAGGCTTTAAGACCGCTTAGCATTAATGATCGTACTTACATCACGGTTCTTGATTTCGTGTCTTTATACCCGTCTATAAAAATCCAGCCATGCTTTTGCGCAATTAGGGACCTCTTACTAAAGTCGCATGGAGCATACCGTAAACAAATATTGGAACTGGCCCACTTGTTATGCTACAACTCATTTTTTAGGTTCAACAACAAAACGTATCTACAGAAACGCGGGGTCCCGATGGGCAGCCCAATATCGGGGGATTTATGTGAATTAGTCGTTAGACAACTGGAACAAAAAATCATACCTATGTATAGTTCCAACATACTTATTTATAAAAGGTACGTTGATGATATCTTTATTATGTGGAAGGCTAAACCAGATATAAATAACTTCATTGATGCAATGAATAATAACCCGTATGGCCTCTGCATTAAACTAGACCAAATAAGCAATTCAAACGCTACCTTCCTAGATATCAACATACAATTAGGAGGCAATATGATATCAACTAGGGTCCATTACAAGCCATGCTACACACCTCGATTTATCCCTGCCAGTTCGGATGATCCATTTTCGTACAAGGTCGCAGCATTCCGGGCCCTAACCAAGAGAGCTTTCACACACCACTCAAACTTTGAAGATACATTAGCGGAGTTACAACACATCCAGAACATAGCCACACAACATGGGTATGGGAAAAGATTAATTCAAAACCTGGCGTTGGCCTACTCATCACGTGTATACAACGATAGCTCACGCACGAACAACTCGAATAATTTGCAGTGTGTAGCGGTGGTTGAATATAACCGCCACCTAGATCCGATTTACAGAGAAATTGCGAAGCGTATAAACAAAAGAATAGCATATAAGAGGCGCAATACTATTTACAACATTCTGCGCAATAGCAAAGACAACATAGACGAAAGGTATGCACCGGGAGTGTATTCTGTCCCGTTAAGAGACCATAGATTTCAAAGGGATCTTATATATATTGGCTCCACCATACGCTCTCTGGATAAACGTATGCGCGAACACAAATATGACATTGAACACAACAGATGCACCACTGCCCTATCTACGTATGCTTCGACCCCTGGCATAAGTGCTAACTTGCAGAACGCGCAAATCATTAAAATGTCACACAGAAGAGAACACGTACGAACGCTAGAAGCTTTGGAAATTTATAAAGCAGGATTACGTAATAGCTGTATCAACTATAAAGATGCTATTAATATTTCGGCAGCTTGGAGGTTTGCGTATGAAGCAGAATGCCCCCACAACTCTATGTAAGGTGTTATACATCGTTTACATGTATATGTAAAATAATATTTGTGAATATTTGGGTTCACGTACGTAATGATTAATACGCATGCGCGTAATGAATTTTATTCGCAAAGATGTATATGTTCCAAAATGTTTAAATATGTAAGCACAACGATTTTCGAATATCAGAATTTAAAACCTGAGGAAGACTGAGGAAGGCAGTCGAAAACGTTAGTTGTTTTCATTAAATATATTTTTACTGGTCAAGTAAAGGTTTTTATGTGTGTTTTTATTAAATAAATTATATCAACGAAAGCTTACAAATTACAAAACTTTCATTATTATTTTAATATATTTAAAATTTTTGTATTGTAATTAAATGTCAGAAACACGATAAGCGTAATAAAAGCTTATGATCTCACAAAAAGGGTTCGAGTTCGATTTTCGTTCGTAATAGACATCATTTTTTTAAAAAATATTTTTAAAATTGTTTTATTTTTATTTGTATATACATTTTTAATCATTCTCTTTATTTTTTTTCTTAATACTAAAAAATAACGAGACGATTAATATACACAATATACAGTTATCTAAATTACATCGGAAAATTTTAATATAAATAATAATTAGCATAAATTAAAATATATTATTTTTTTAATTTATATTTTTAACAGCGTAATATTAAAACACGTTTAAGTAATTATAAAAAAAAGAGATAAATACTTGTTTTTATAGATGTCTATTGAAATTCTCCGATAAAAACAAGCAAAGGGAAGATGGAAAGAAGATCGAATCGGGGCGAGGAAGACGATGCATCGAACAGATGTAAGAAGAGAACTTGAATTTCTTTCATTTTATCCTAAATATTGTTATATATTAAATTAAACAAATTACCAACAAGAAAATAATCAATAAGAAAGATTTGTTTCTTAGAAAATAGTTAAATGCACAAATTGACATACAAATTAATTAAATGCTTAGCAATTATATTGTTATGTGTTATAAATACGGGAGGATATAATTTATTCGGAATTAAATTGTTTAAATAAATGAACTTTTCGTATTAAACAGATATTTAATGAAAGACGTATGGAAAATCGATGTTTAAAAATTTCTTCGAATTATACGCGTGTATCCGAGTTCGATACCGGCAATCAAGCTTTAAATAGTTTCATTATTATGTATTTAGAATATTTCCCAGTCCTGTTTAAAAGAAATACATTTACGTACTGCCAGGACTTTTTTTTTATATTGGAAGATTCACTTGTTTTATTTCCCACATGGAAAAACGGTGTGTTTTTTCCATGTGTGAAGTAAAACAAGTGGATCTTCCTCACATGTGTGAAGTAAAACAAGTGGATATTCCTCACATGTGTGAAGTAAAATAATAGGATCCTCCTCCACATGTGTGAAGTAAAACAATAGGATCCTCCTCACATGTGTGAAGTAAAACAAGTGGATCCTCCTCCACATGTGTGAAGTAAAACAAGTGGATATTCCTCACATGTATGAAGTAAAACAAGTGAATCCTCCTCCACATGTGAAGTAAAACAAGTGGATCCTCCTCCACATGTGAAGTAAAACAAGTGGATATTCCTCACATGTGTGAAGTAAAACAAGTGGATATTCCTCACATGTGTGAAGTAAAACAAGTGGATATTCCTCACATGTGTGAAGTAAAACAAGTGGATCCTCCTCAGATGTTTGAAGTAAAACAAATGGATCCTCCTCACGTGTGTAAAGTAGAACAAATTTATTTCTCGCATGGAAAAGAAATTAGTGGGAAATAAACTTGTTTTTCTCTTTTGTATACTTATTATACCAGTACTTTATTTAATTTTATTGCCTTACTATGTATTATTATGTACCACTTGAACAATTATATGAATGCAGATTTAATAAATTTTTTATAACCAGGTTTATTTTTTAATTATATTTAACATATTTAGATGATAAGTGGAGATTTAAATAATGTATTAATTCAAGTAAAATATAATTAATGTAGATATGTATTAATTCATTAATGTATTTTTCTGTATAATTAAATTTTTTATATCTTAGAATGTGTAGATGGAATTATTAAGTTTTTATGCTTGTTTATTTTATTTTATGGAATAGGTTTTTATACAAAACTTTTTGAATATTTGTTATATTTATGGCCTTCCTGCTGTGAATGTATTGATCATACTATAAATCCTGATTTGATCTGAAAGATACATAAATCTTTATAAAGTTTTATAAATGTAAATAGAATATATGAAACATGATAAAAAGAAATTTACAGAATGCTAGATGATAATCCAGCGTTGATCTGGTATTAAATATAATCAATTGAAAAAAAATGCAAAGATTTTTTTTATTTATGCAATATTTATTAGTTCATTTTAATTTTAATTTAGAAAAGAACAATCTGTGATTGATATTTTTATATTTATAAATTTAATAGGAATAAAAATTTCAGATGTTATAATCCATGTTTTTTATTAATTAAAATTATTTAAAATTATAAATTTCAAAGTTTAAATTTTGAAATGTGTTATTTAATATCTGTAACTATGAAAACATATATTAATTATTTCATATTACTGATGAAATAATTTAAAACAGCCTATTAGCAATACTATGACAAAGCTATCGTTTGTGCTTGCTACCATTTACATTACTAAGTAAGTTTGCACCTAATAAGTATTATGTACGCATATATTTTTATAGCAATTATGTTTTAATGAATTCTATATTAATATAGTGAACTTAATTCTATAGCTTTGTTATATACACGTAAAATTGAAAAAAAACTATGTTTCTGTAATTTATTTTATTAAGCACTTTCAACTACAGTCAACCCCCTATAACACTGTTGATTTTTCCGTTTTATACGAATTCCATGTTGTACGAGTCACTTAGATTTTACAAATATATAAGCCGTTCACAGCCCAGCGCATGTATTTGTAAAATCTAAGTGACTCATACAACATGGAATTCATATAAAATGGAATAATCAACAGTGCTATAGGGGGGTCGACTGTATTATGTGTGTTTGTGTACGTATATCTATTGTACAGTACATGCATCATTGAGATTAAAATTTTAAATCTGTGCATATTTATATGTAAACAAATATCTATGCTTAATTTGTATTTTATCTTATCTGCCTTTTGTACTATAACAAAACAGGTAAAAAAAGTAAACAAATATAATACAAACAGATAGCAGATTTGTTAAAAAAGATGAGTGAAGGTTTATAACTTTACAGTATATGATGTTCTTGAGTGCTTTTTGCAATCACTCAAAAACATCTGTTAACGTAAGTATATTTTTCTAAAAAGCAATGGTTTTGTATTAAAATATGCCATTCAAAATATTGTATTACAATAGTAATGATACAGGAACAAATACACAAATTATATTCCATTCTGTTTATAAAATTAAATTACGATATGCATTTTTAATGTGATTTTAAATATTTTAAAAATAATTTTCAAGTCCTATTTAATATGAAAACAAGTTTATGAATTCACAAATATGAAGTATTTAAATTTACCATTGAAATCAAATAAAATAATTATAATTATTAAATTATTGAAATGTTTGCTATTATTTTATTAAAAATTCTGACAATCTAAAATAGTAAATTTGATGTATTGAAGCTTAAAGAATGTAAAAAATTTATAAGTTTAATAATTCTAGAAAAGTTTATATATACAATATATTTGAAACTTAATATTTTGATTTATTTTTCAGAACTTTCTTAAAAATTTTATAATTATCGCTAATGTATAATGATTTAGAATTATATTAAATTATTATTTTATGTTTTAGAATTGGAATTATAAATATAGCTAACTTGTAGTAAATTATATATGTTTATGCAACATTCATACAAGATTAGTAAATCAAATATATATTATTGATTAAATAACACATTACATATTTCTAATGTATGAACTTTAAAAGAAATTTATTAAATTATCAATTTATAGATGTTGTTATTATGGAATTGTGTTAAAAGAATTTTTTTTATAATAAAACTTCCTTTTCTTGACTTACTCTATACATTTTAGTACCTATAAAATGGTCAGCCTTTATTCATTCATTGGTTAAGGGATTAAAATTTTTTACTTGGATTTAAACATATTATATTTATATTATTTTTATTGGAAAATTCATTGTAATAATAGTTATAAAAGTTTTTCTTATTGTTGGACTATATTTTGTATTATCTCTATAAATTTATTGCATTGTTTTTACATTACATTCAGAGAAACATATCTAGTTTAATAATAATAACTTATACATATATACACATATTATGTTAATATGTTTTATTTAATGCATCATTGTAGATTGTCACAAATCATATCCACCATGATTTGATCCTTTATTGTCAGATTGTATCTGTCTAAAACAAGTCCAGGTTTTATATTTCAAATTTTATAATCTCTGCTTGAAACCTTGAACTAAATTGAAACATTGCCAGAAACTGTAAATAAAAGTAATATAATAAATATATTTTTCATTGATTATGCAGAAACATGTTATAAAAACATTTTACTTTCAATGTTGTCATCTTATGAATATTCTGATTGTCAATAATTATCATATCAGATTATCTCAACTGGAAAATTTTTTACATGTGCTAATATATGTAAAAGACTTACCAGTTTCATAAGGGTGTTTTTACATATACCAATAGAAAAAATAAAAATTTATATTGGTTTATATTTATTTGGTTATTCCATTAGAAACCAATAATAGAAATCATAGAAATTTAAACTTATTTATTTTTTCAATTATCTTTCTCTGGATTTTTCATTACTCCTTAGCCACTCTTTACCAATAATAGATAAAAACATTTTCTAATGGCCATTATAACACTTTTATTTCTGTCGTTTGCATATCAAAAACTAATTTTATCTGATGATAAAACAAATCTTTGAAAGTACAAAGTAACCTATGCGGAAAACATGGCTGTATCTGTGTTTTTTTTTCCTATTGATAATTTAATTGCATTAAAGTCAAAAATGATGTTTTGAATATTTTGTGTGTTTTTAGTATAAGAAATGAAATCCAGTTAGATGTTAACTAAATTTTAACTTTAAGCATTATTTATGTTTGCTCAAAAATGTAATAAACAATTTTAATCATTTTTTTCCATTCTTTTCATTAGCTGTAATATTTATTAAATTTAGAAAACTTTTAATTAAATTATCTAGAAATTCCACTAATAAATAAATCATTGGCTGTCAGCATGGCATTTTCATAAATGTGTTTTGTTATACAGAATTCATGGAATCTACTAGGGAGTTGACAGATGAGAGTGGCACTTTTACCAGAGTAATAATCACGAAGTAAAGAAATATTAAATTAATAAAATTGCGGAATGTACCTAACTATTAGCCTTTTGAATCCGTAATTAGACAATTGACTTTTTTTATCTTTGAGAAAAATTTCTTATACATTATTGAAATTAATTTAATATAGATTCTAAAAAAACTGATTTTTATCATTTCTGAATTAAAAGTTATTCTTAGAGAATGAGATTGCATTAATCGAAACTACAGTTAATAAATTGGCAATAATTTAAAATTTTTGGTAACCAAACATTTTGAACTATAAAAAAATATATTGAAGCAAAAGTATCTAATTTATCTGTTATATAATTTGACTATATTTACATGTACTATAATTCTGGGATGCAGCCAGGGGATGCTTCTAGTGCTGCATTACCCCTTGATATCAAAGAAATCAGCTTTGTTACTTTACAATAAAAATAAATATAACAATACATATCGCATGACTTTAGTGGCAGAAAGTAATCTTGTACATGTGGAAAAAAGCAGAAAAACTTAAATTTATATTCCTTGGAAACACATTTTGAAAAGTGAGGAGCACAGTCTAAAAATAATTGCATATGAATTCAAAATAACTGTAATTTTGATAATTTCTAGTGAAAATAAGAAATATACGATTTTATATTTTTTTATTCCTCCTTTTGGAATCATACCAAGTAGAAATCATATTGTAATTTTGTATAATTTATAATCAATCTATCAATTCAAAATTATCAGTTACTCATTTACTATCTTATGTTTAACAATTTTAAAAAGCTAATGAAAAAATAATGATGTAAAAAGTTAGGTAATTAAGGTAATTTTGAGGGGACACATGCCTTAGTAACATCTGGATCTGCCTTGGGTCTCAAAATCCTGGTTGTGCCACTGATATAATTGTAACATTGGCAGTCTCAGTAATTAAATATTTTCTTGTAACCATTGCAAATTTTCATTTTTTATATCATTACTTTTTAGGTAAACATTGGATTTTGGATTATAATTTTTTAATATTTTTGCAAGAATGTTTCAATGAAGAAGAAAGAAAACGGCATATGTGAATACGATGATTAATGCAATGAAATGCTTATTGCCTCATTGTTTCAGATAAAAGAACAAGAATGATCAAATTAGTGTTACCACCCGTCTGGTTTTCACCCAGACAGTCCGAGAATCAACTCACTGTCTGGGTGAACTATTAATTTTGTCCTGGAATATCGTGCGCGACCTGTTGACCTTTTTTTGTTTTATTTATTTTTTGCTTGTACAATTTGTATTCGTACACGTCTCCAATATCCAATAGAACTAAGTCATGTGTAGTTTTTTTTTTTCTTCTTAATTTGGGTAGGAGTAATGTAAGTAACCTAAGTCTCCCTAGTCCCTAACTATAACTGATTTAGAACTGGCATGCACTGCACGTTATTCTTTGCATTGCAAAATGACATTGCGCATGCGTCAGGAACTTCTGTTCAAACAAACCTCACCTGCTATCCAGGTCAGCAGTTTTGAAAAGGTGGCAACACTAGATCAAATAGTGATACTGTTGAAAAGCAAGATAAGAATGAATCTACTAAAAATGTATTCAAATAACCTAAGCCTAATTTTTTATTAGACACACTTCTGTATGACAGATAATCAGTTTAGTAATCAGCTTAATTATAGTTCTAATATAATTTAGCTTGTAGAATTTTTGCTAATAGAAAATTAAATAGCTCTTCTAATTACAAAAATAATATTTATAATGATGATAATACCAGGTTTAAAGTAGAATAAATGATATAATGAAGAATAAGTACAGGTATACCTCGACTTATGTCGTTTCGAGTTACGTCGTTCCCGATTATACATCGTTTGTCAAAAAAGTATATGGAAAAATAAAAATCAAGTTCAAGGCATTTTATTAGACTTTGTCTGTCCGCCACAAATATTGAAGTTGTAATATCACTAGAAAAGCATTTAAAGCACATAAAATCATATTAAAATATATACATTTACAAGTATGTACTGTACTGTATTTACAGTACATGCATTTATAAATTTAGATTACTTTTTTCTGTACTATATTAAAAACTAAAATTTATTTGTTTGTAAGCTTAAAATAGATCCTTATTAACCATATATTATTAAAAATGCATTAATAAATAAAATACAGAACCGGAAATGGTAATTTATGGTTTAGCCAAAAGTGACAAGTAGATTCGGAGACAAGTAAATTCGACTTACGTCGCTTTCCTGGAATCAATTACCGACGTAAGGCGAGGTATACCTGTAGTCATTGCAGGTAACATGAAAGAAATATTTTGGAAATAATAAATTATTTTCTTTTCCAATTTTTCTGATAAATCATGAGTTAGACTCCAAAATAATTTTGAATTCTGTTTAATGGATTATTACACTGTTTTAGTAGAATATTTTTTGCACAATTTCATAAGATGAGACTTATTCAAATAGAAAAATTAAATTTTTAGATTATTCAAATTTTATTTTAGTAATAAATAAATTTTTTCTTTTAGAAAAGTTTATTTTTATGCAATCTAGCATGAAAATAAACTTTTCTTAAATGAATATTCATAATAATATTAATAAAACTTAGTAAAAAACTATTTTAAAATATGTAGAACTTTTTACAAACGTGATAATGTTTTAATTATTTTAGCTTACATTCATTTCTTATATAACAAAATTTCTAAATTTGTAGCATATCATTTAAACTATAAGAAAATCTCAAATTTAGAAATAATTAAATTGAATCTACTGATATTTAGATTCTGTAAGTTTAGTTAAAATACATTTTAATTCTATTTCATGATTTATTCCAAAATTATTTTTATTAGTAATTATTTACTCTTACATCTTTTGTTTATCTTGGATATCATGTTGAAGAATTTTTATTAAAATGTGGATTCTTTTACATATAATGCTTAGAACAATTTGTGTATATACTATGTATAGCGTGTGTTTATGTATACAATTAAACCCTATTCATCTGGATTTCTATAACATCTAGATTGAATTGAATAGTCTTTTCTTAAATTTTTTGGAAGAATTATTATTATTTGCAATGCTTGTGAAATCATTGAAACATTATTTACAACCTTAATATTACCTATCTTAGCAATCTTACATTCTCAAAGACAAAGATACGTACTGTTTGTACGTACCGAATGATTTTTATGTTCCTATTGTTTCTAAGTCAGTAAAGCATGCAAGTTTATTTTCAAGCATTAAAAAGTATTTTCAGTATGAAAAAATAAACCAAACGACAGCTATTGTATTATTTGTAGTATAAAATAGCTCAATTAATTAAGGCTGTCATTTGGTTTATTATTAATACGTCAGGCTTTTGGATGTTTATACATGTATTTCAGTATGAAATTTTAGACTTTAATTTCAGTACTCTACTAATCTTGGTTTATCTGGATTTTTGTTAATCCAGATCAGAATCTGGCTAAATTATTACGAAGACATTAATACAAAAACAAAAAATAATTTTTATACACATGTAAAAAATGGTATTTTTAAAATTCATTTATGAAACTTTTACTTTGTTCAATTTATAAATTAATTTTAATATTTATTTAACTAATATTATAAAGCATTATTTATTAGTTAATAATACCCGAAAGAAAGTTAATTTTAATAATAATTTTAGAAATTATATTTTTCAGAATTTAAAAGAATATTTATTACAAGACTGTCATCGTTTTACGTTAATTAATCATGTAAAGTATTTATTATATATGGAATTATCAAAGACAATTATTTAAATCTCCATCTTGAAAATGTATGAATATGCTAAATGAAAAAAATTTCAAGAAAGAAAAGGTAAATATTTTTTATTTAAAAATTATTTTGTAGAAATTAATTTAAAATAAGTATTATATTCTATTATATATCTAGTAATTATTGAATAGAATTAATTATTAGCAATATACAGCATTAATCATATAATTAAAATGACATACAGTAGGCCCTTGTTTATATTGGAGTTCTTTATGNTGAAACAAAAAATGTTATGCATTCCATCACGTACATAAACAGTGTCATAATTTGCCAAGTGCAAATCAGCAAATTCGTAAAATTTTTGTTTGTTTTGAACAATCCGGATAATCGAAAATCCAGATAATAGAGGTCCGGATAATCGAGGTTCCACTGTATTTTTCTTTTCTGAACAAGGGCTGAAGTAGCTAGCTACATTGCACACTTTTTAATTGGTCTAACTCTTCTGGAAGGATGAAATTGAAGTGAAAATGCTGTCGAATATATGTAGATGTAGAATTTTTTCGCCCCTTTTTTCTCTTATTAAATATTTGTTAAAAATTAATTTTTTTATACAAATAAATATTAATGTAAGTTAAATATTAAAAATACTAACTATAAAAATATTTGGGTAAATACCACAGACTCCTTTCAGAGTTCAGAGTAGGGTACCCCTTATGAGCACTTCTGTCCCTCATAAAATGACTTGGTATTTAATTTTGCAGGAGTCAGAGTTGGCCTACTAAAATTATCAGGAGTCAGAGTCAAGTGTTTTTTTACCAACTCTGCAGCTCTGCTCAGTACATCTTGCAATCTCCAAAATAATAATAATAATGCTGTGTAAAATATGTATAAAAAATTACTTTTGAGTTATGTAGAAATTTTCACAAATAGAAAAAGTTTATTAAAGTTTGTTGGAAACTGCTTACAACAAAAATGCCTGTGAATTGAGTTGAAAATTTAAAGAAAAAAAATGAACTTAGATCAAACTTCTAAGTTAGAAGGTAATTTTTATTATTTAAATAAAACACAACACAAAATATTATTGCAAATTTGTATAATAAGATTTTAAAAAGCAAAGATGGTCAATACTCCGATCACTTAGTTTGATTCTTATTTTACTAAAGAAAAGTTCTGCTATCGAGAATGCCCTTTTCAATTCAATTGATGTGGGTGGAATTGTCTTTAATGCATTTAAGAGAAGACGGATGTTATGTGTTTTTTCACCTGTAGCCTGGAAGATTTCTAGTTTTTTTTCATGATGCATTACAGTATTACTTTTGCCATCTAGTATTCTTGATTTGTCTACCTCGGTTGCTTTAATAGAAACATCAAGCTTATAGCCCAATAATTTGTGGTATCTCAGGCATACCAGGATATCCTGAGTCAGTGTGGAAGGGTAATGTGTTGAGGACTTCACAATTTTCAGACAAATAAGAAACAAAGCCAGGTTTATTAACATCTACATGCGGCACTATACTACAGGTGGTATCTTTACTATATACATATATATATATATATATGTCCTATCACAAGCAATTGATACGATTCCATAACAAAGAGAAAGATTCCGATCTGAATAATAGGGTGAATTTGCATCTCAACAATTACAATTACGTACAAGATGAAACATAAAGTACTCTCATGTTTCTTCTTAGTTAATTTCATATATTAATGCCCTATTCAATGCACGGAAGTACATGGATCAAAACTTGATCTCCCACGTTGTTGTAAAGTCTATAACTACAAAATAATGTTCTTACTCAAGTCCTTAAGCAATTTTCGGACATAATCAACACATTCTATATTCGTATATCTTCTCTTCTTCGAGATGGATTCGGATTACTTATCGTCGGTAGAGACTGTATTTCCTTTGTTCCACTGCTGTCTCCAAAGTCCTTCGCACTCCACTCTCTCATTCTAATGTCCAGTCGTAAACTCGGGAGCCAGGCAAAAAGATCACGAACATGTGAAGTATTTGAATTTATACTTCCCGCTATCCGGGAATGTTGTTTTAGTATGTAATCACTCCTTGAACCAGTCAGCAGGTTCAGATTGGTGCAGCAGAGAAAAAGGTGATACCAGAAAACGAATGGAATGCAACACGAATTAATATACAAAAAATCAGACCCGAAACAAAATTAACGGAACTGCTTTCATGCTAGAATAACAGAAACATAGAAAAATGATACATAACACATAGTAGCATAGCCCTACAAATTCGGCAGTTTGTTTGACTTTAATAATCAGGTTTATGAAGAAAAACTTTATACTTGCACACTTCATGCTCGTTTGTATCCTTGCCCAATTTGCACAACCTGGCATAATGCAGTTATTGAAGCTACTGGGCACTTAAAAATTATTTCAGATAGTACAGGTTATCTGGAATAATTGTGCTTATGCTGTCTTAATTTGTGTAGTATTGAATTAAGAACTACTATAATATATCAGAGAATAAAAACTTACAATATTAAAATTTATAAACTAAATTTTAAAACAGATTTAGAGTATAAAATCACTACCACACAAACAACAATATATTGTGTAGAGAATAAGTTATATAAAAATATACCTAAAAGTTTATCATAAATATATGCTCAGTAGTGTATAAATCTTCCAGGAAGTTTGGAGAAAACAAATAACATTATTAAAAATTTTAAATTCAATAAATATTGATGGCCAGATTGCTGTGGAAGTTATTAGTCTTCTGAGTACTCAGGATTGAATCTGGACAGGCAACCCCAAAAATTTTTTATGAAGGTTTGTCTAGCAATGTTTTGTCCTGTCCTTCACCACCTGGTGGCTCACCAGTGGCAAAGTGGTTCCATTCCTGAACACTGGGAGTTTTGTCGTGGGTTCATGTCTCGTCAGGGCAGGCTGACCAGGTGGAGTTTTCCAGGTTTTCTCCACATCTGTAACACCTGAATAGGGGCCAGCTACCCTTAAAAAAACCTCTCGGAAGGCATCCCTCTAGTCAGATCTCCCAAGTGTTGCATTGCCATAACTTAACAAAACGAACAAACTCAACCTGATCATTCCCATTGTGGGCTTGGCCAAACCCAGGTGGGCATGGGGAAAAACCTTATTAGTGCATAGTTCAGAAAGTGCCAAAATGAAAAAAAAAAAAAAAAACTTAATGGCTATTCAAATTGACATATGTTAAACCATCATAGCCTAAATTAAGGGCCTATTGCTATTTTCTTTTGTTTGCCTCAGTATATGTAATTAATACTAATGTGCTATTCTAAATATATGTTATAACTAATTGTATATATATTTTTTAAATTATAGAATAAAGGTTTTAATATATTATTTATAATTATAATAAAGATTTAAAAATATAATCATGTATAGAAAATTTTCAAATATGAAAATTTAGTTCGTTTCAAATTCATGTATGAGACATGTTAAAAAAGTTCTAAGAATGGGTCAAAAAAATCGAAACATTTTAGAATATAAAGGAATGTATTTAATAATTTAAAAATAATTATCATGAGCTTTAATACACTTCTCCACTGATTTCTCCAGTTCAAGAAACATTTAGAGAAGTCAATTTCTTTCAGAGATTGCAAAATTTTCTTTGATTTGCCTTATAGGAATTCTAGTAACTCTTTTACTTTTGACAATTACAAAAATTTTATGATAAAAATAAAACTTGGAAAGAAATTCATATCTGCACAAATTAATGACAATATTTTAATATACTATTGAATAAAATACACAATAAAATTATTATTTTTCTTCCACTAGAGAGTAAGCGAGTTTAGATTTTTCTTACTCAGCATTATGTTTGAATATTTCCTACATATTGTTTTTGTATTCAGTTATTTGTTTATCATTTCATAATATCTTATGGGGAATTCTATACTTTAATTTAGAAATTATTAATATGCATGAAGAGTTTAATTGAAGGTCAAGATTTCATTTTATGTTAATATTTATTCAATTAAAGAATTACAGGTATGATTATCATCATCATTATTATTAGAAGTTGTTATTATTTTGTTAATTTTCTTTTAATATCAATTATGCAAAGTTATATTGCAAGATAAATACACAGGTTTTTTAATCTTATGCAATTAATTTATAATGTGAAATCATATTTTTTAAAATTATTAACATTATGTCAGAACTATTTCCTGGTAACCAAATATAAGCTTGTTAGAAGAAAAATGATAAATTTGATACATATAAACCAATAAATTTGTGGGATTGTTCATTAATTACATAGGCTATAGAGTTTTTGACCTCCTCCTCTCTTGTGTACAATGATATACTTTTTGCAAACCTTTTTTACTTTTCCAGCTGTTATATATAACAGAGAGAAATCATTTCTCTCTGATGGAGAAATGGTTTAGAAATTAATATGCATCTATGTCCTTAATTTAATCAAAATTATTCTTTCAATCACTATAGCAGTGTATTTCTATTAATAGGACTTATTAATAGGACGTAAGTCCTATTAATAGAAATACACTGATATAGTGATTGAAAGAATAAATGGTTTAGAAAATTCTTGCAGAACTTTTTAAACTGATAGTTTATTTACATGACTAGTAAGTAGGTTATAAGAACAAATTCATATTCCATTAATACTATTAAAAAAGTCCACATAGCTAATGCTTTCATTTTCTTCCTCTCTATCTTGTACAATGATATACTTTTTTTGATCCCCTTCTCCCCAGTTAAACTGTATATGTAATTAATGGATTGTCCCTGAATTATATTTGATATTTATTTATAATTTCTCATTTAAACTAGGACTATTATTTAACATTCTAGAAACTTTCTATATAACATTTTATAAAGATCAAGGATTGTTTAAAATTACTGCATATTATATTTAGCATCTTATATGTTGCATTTTTAATTAATTTCAAAATTTTGAATCAGTGTAGATTTTATAGTAATTTGTGTAATTTTAATCTCATTTTCTAAATGTTTTTTTTAATGACAATAATAATTTAGTAATCAACTAACTGCTTATTATAACTATGTTATTACTTATAATAATTCACTTTGCATTTTAAAAACTATGCATTTCTTTCTGCCATTCACTTGAAGCA